CGAGCAGTTGGACAGGTGTACCTAATAAAGTGGCCGGTGAGTGTATAACACCAATGTGTCTTTCATCGAGATGGACTGACAGATCATCAGAGCATCGCTCCAGGTGAAAGATGATCAACTAAATCTCAACTGATTCCTCGTAGTAAAACATTGATTTGAGGAATGGAGGTCTGTATGGGTCTGATGATTAGCATCCACACAGTCTTCAAACCTTCTATGAATCACTGTTATCCTTTCAAATTTCCCAGGTTTGGTTGCAGATGACTCACTGTGACAGAACAATGCATAATGCATGGGAGACCATTTTCCACCTCTATTTTTGTACATTTCTTAGCTCACATGTCCCCTCATAGCTCCACGGGGGGTCCTTTCCACATCCCCCAACACAGAACAAAAGACTGGACAGAATCCACCCACACTTTACTTTCTCATTTTAAAATGAGAATTGCTTGTTTCACCTTTTTTCCCGTCTTGTATTTTCATTGCTTTCATCTCTTTGCCTTCTTCCTAGGGGTGTAGGTTGCATCCTGTTTGAGATGGCAACAGGTCGTCCGATGTTTCCTGGTGCCACAATAAAGGAGGAGCTACACTTGATTTTTAGAGTCATGGGTAAGATTGCTGGAAATGACGGCAGTGATTTCAACGATACTGTTTACAGCCAAAAAAGGTTTTCACCTGTGCTATAAGCTTTGAAATGACCTCCACACTTAATATCCCAAGGTCAATTGTAAGTGGTATTATAATTATAACTGCTGAGGGGAGCACAGAGCTCTCCATGGTTGGTAGACAGCAGGTACTGATGACCAAACTTTCATGGCCTTCATTTTAACTCCAGAGCAACGTAAACTTCATGGAATTGCTTTCTATGGTTGAGCTGTTGCAAACTCTTTAATTTGGTTCAATGTACGACATCTAAGTCACAACAAATACTGTCACCAGTAAACTAACAAAAAAACGACCCATTTCAGGCATAAAGACAAATCCAAGTTTACTCCAACTTGTTAAACAATGTTCCAAGTTCAGTTTTTTGGTTCCAAGCAGTGATGGGATTCTCCATCTTATCAAACCTCCAAACTCATTAACAGTGGAGAGTAACAACCCTACAGTGAAGCTGCCACAAAAACGCAGACAGACCAGGTTCAACGGATTTCAAAGCAGCTTCTTTTTCTGCCCCTAAAATTATTTTTATATTGAAAACAGTCTGCAAGACTGAGGAAACAGGCAGCCAAACAGCAAATGATCAGTGTGGTCAAAAGACTGTAACTGATTGGAAATCAGCCTAAAAGCTTTAGCTCAATTAGGCCAATTAGCCTTCAAAAGACACACAACTGGAGAAGCAGTGGAGCCTAGGGGAAGACATGTTCACAAGTCATGTTTTGCAAGTCCAAGTCAAGTCTCAAGTCTTGAGAGCTTAAGTCCAAGTCAAGTCTTGAGATCTCAAGTCCAAGTCAAGTCTCAAGTCTTGAGTGCTTAAGTCCAAGTCAAGTCTTGAGAGCTCAAGTCCAAGTCAAGTCTCAAGTCTTGAGAGCTCAAGTCCAATGGAATGATCATTATCTTGAACTGGTCAGTGAAAAATACATGCTTATACGTCACGTAGCGTTGCGTCAGTGACGTCGGTGCTACGTGACTGTTTGACAGCCCCTCTGCCGTTTTTTTTTAACCTCTGCTGTGTGCGGGTAAGGCGAGCGGCGATCAGTCAAGTTAGTCAAACAAAAAACAGTTAAAAAATAAAATATTGTTCACAAGTCGGAAATCGCGGGACTAAGTCGAGTCTGAAGTCATTAAATATGCGACTTAAGTGAGACTCGAGTACAAGTCACAAACTGGAGTCCCCACCTCTGCCTAGGGGTCGTCACAACACTCAATAGTACGGTGTCTCCATCATTGTTAACATGCCTGTCGCCACAATGGAAAGCAGAACTTTAACGGAATAACTTGTCTTACTGTGAGACACTTTTAAATGCAATGGAACCAGAATATTTTTTCTATGTTAGGGCGGAGCTTCACTCTATGACATTTCTAATCATTGCAAACAGCTACAGCTCACATTGTAGCTCAGGATGTTTGTTCTTCTGCTGCACGACCCGACGATCTGATGCGATCTACCTGCTCCCACTGCACTTCCGGAAAGCACACTCAGTGCCGAGAGATGGAGCTGGTCAGACTCCTCAATCTGGAAGAAGAAGAAGAACAAGAACAACTCCCCTGTCATGCTCATGCTCAGTACTCAATGTTCTGGTAAATGGGCTCATAGTTCTGCTTCAACAGCAGGATTTACCCACCAACACCTCAGGAGGACCCACTGGATTTCAAACATGTTGGATTTTCTCCTGACCTTAAGATCAGGAGATGGTCATTAGAGGCCGATCGCCCCTCATTAACCTCTGCACACTACAGGACGCACCATGAGGCTGAAACTCAGCCTGATGCAAAGAATACTCCGACGACTGGAGAATCGGCCCGAAAACCTCATACAGTTTAGCCCGACTTTAATGAAAAACGCCTTTAATGGCAGCAGGGGCTCATTTAGGGGCTTTATCTTAAAAAGTAACATAGCTAAAAACATAAACTTCAAGCCAATAGTAAAAACACACCAATTAAAATAAATACTGTAAAAACATTGAACATGGTTAAACAAAAGGACTAAAAAAAAGACCATAAAGTTACGGTCTGGAAGAGCTCCGCTGATGTCAAAGCTTCACACCACAGAATAAAAGCAGACAGAGTTAATAACCGAAGCCTGGCTCACTATAAACTCTCTGAAAGAGCAAAGTTTTAACCGTGTCCTGAACGCAGACAGAGTTCCTGCATTTTGGACAGAAACTGGACAGGATGTATGATCCTCCGGTAAACCTGCAGCGGGAGCCTGATTTATTGGAAAGATGAGGAACAATCACTGAAATAATGCAGCTTGGCTATAAATGTTGTCCTATCTGATCATTTTTCTCTTTACTTTGAAATATTTCCTACTGATCTAATCACCAAAAGAGATGTTATTAGAAAGCATGATTGATATTAAAATTAACGCTCCAGCAGAGAGAAATGGAAAAGCTGGAGGAAGGTGAAGAAAGAAAGGACTCCAGGTTCACTGAAACTAGATATAATTTACGACTAAAAGATGCCAGAGAATCTTTCTTCTCTGAGATTATTAACGAAGACAACAATGCTCGTACCTTATTTACCACAAATGGCCCTTTGGCAGTAATTCAAATAGATCACTTTCTCTCACTTGGTCTCCTGATTATTATTATTATTATGAATGGAATCAGATAATAAATGAGATGATGATTTCTTTGCTTTTAGGGACTCCGACAGAAGAAACTTGGCCTGGAATCAGCGGCAACGAGGAGTTCAGGTCTTACCTCTTCCCCCAGTACAGATCTCAACCTCTCATCAACCACGTGCCCCGGTGAGTTTCTATGAGCTGCTCTGTCATTCTATCATCTATTAATCTGCTAAAACATCCACAAACTCTGAATTAGTGGCTCAAATTTCCATCTATTGCTAACTAGTTAGCTGTAGCATTAAGCCCATGTTGTAACCGGCTTCGTACTCGTATTCGTCGTCTTCCGCTTCATCTGGGCAGCAGGCTCCTCCTCCCCAGACACCTCCTCCAGCTCTGCTGGGGGAAACCAGAGGGGTGGTTTCCTGGGTCTCCTCCCGGTGGAGGTGACTGAAACCGCTCCTGAGGGAGGCGTTCAGGGGACATTGGGAAAAAGATGTCTGAGCCTCCTGATCTGACTCCTCTGGATGTGGAGGAGAAGCGGCTCTCCCTGAGCTCAGCCTCACTCCACAGGAGCTTTCAGATTTCATGATCATTCATGTGATTTTGATGCAGGTAGGAACCAGAAGGATGACCATGGAAAAGCTTTATAACGTTTTTCACAATAATCTGCAAAAAGACAGGCTGGTGAGTTGAGGAAAAACCAGTGATTGGAAAAATGTGGTACGTTACCATGAGACGGGCCATCAGATTCCTGAGGAGGGCTTCCCTAAAATGGTGATTGGGTTCCAACTAAACCATCAGAGCGTAATACTCCTTTAAGAAAAACAAACTCCATTATCCAGTAATCAAATAAGCCAATCAGATGGCAGAATGAAACAGAAACGACGACAACCTGAGGCGAGGGAGAGAACGTAGACCACCCGGTTAAACGAGAGCTCCGCCTTTTTCACTCAGCTCTCTCTTCACCACGAGGTATTCTAGCACCTGACACACCCATCTGTCACGATTTGACTATGGTGAGTTGACCCAAAAGCAGATTTAATGTAGATTTAATTATGACTTAACAGAAATCAGAGGCTGGTTATCCAAAAATCCAAAAGGAAAAACAAGTCCAAACAAACAAGAAACCAGAAGTCCAAAAATCCAAAAATCAAAAACATGAAAACAAGTCTAACGTACCAGAAAACATGGAGACATCAGGGGAATCACAAACATAACGAGGAAGGCTCAGAGAGAAGGAGTTGGAGCGTGCAGACGGTGTTTGACGAGGACCCAGCAAAGGGGAACTGAAGAGAGAGGGCTTTTAAAGGAGACTGAGACAAAGAGGGGGCTAATGAGGAAACTGGGAGCAGGTGTGCACAGAACAAAAGAGGGAAAGAGCTAGGGAAGAAGGAGAACACAAGAGGGCAGCAGAGAGCAAAAAAATGGAAACCTGGAAGACTGGAAATAACCACAAAATGATAATCAAATAACTAGGACTATAAAACATGGAGAAAAGAAAACACCAGAACTCAAGGAGTAAAGTAAGACTGAATCTCATCCTGACTGCTTCACACTCGGTCACAAACCGCCCCTACTGCTGTAGGTCTTAGCAAAACTAAATGAGCTCAGACTTCGAGAACTTTCGCACAGTACAGCTTTCAGACAGTAAATGAAAATGTCCATTCCATAAAGTGCAGCAAATCAAATGTAAACAATGTGGGATAAAAAACAAGGTTCAAAAACACATTGATAAGGAACTTCTTCCTCAAAAACTTCTTTTTTACAGACTTAAAAACTTCTAAAGACGAGGGAAAAAATATTGATCCATTAAAATATCCCAATATCTTCATATGCTGATATATTGCCATTTAAAAACACCATATCAATCTCTTTTACTAATGAAATATTGCTATATGTCATCGTTATGCTACGAAATCCCCCGAAAATTCACCAAATGTTGCCATATTTTTATATGTTGATATATTGACGCGGTATCGATCTATTTTACTAACAAAATCTCACAAGAATTTGCAAAATATCACGAGAGTTTGTAACAGAACGATGAAATTTCACCAAATTTTGAAAGTAAAATAGATCGATACCGCGTTTTTAAAAATCAATTTGATATCAGCATATGAAAATATATTTGAGTATATTATTTTTCAAAGTGTCAGAAATGGATAACAAAACTGCTATTTTCAATGACTACTTATTTTTGTCCAGCTTTAACATCGGTATCGATATCGGTTATCGGCTACATGAGTTTTAAAATATCGGCATATCGGCCAAAATCCCAATATCCTGCATCCCTACTTTGCAGCGTTTCTGTCCAAAGCGATGCTCTGATCAACCAGCGTTTCAGGCGACTGCTTGATCAGAAAGCTGATTGGATCAATCAATAAAATAAGCATCTCCCTGAAATGAGTGTTTGGAACTCGGGATGTCTGTAAATGCATCTTCTCATCATCGTCAGGAACACGATCTTCCACTTCTGCCAGGAATCCATCGGGTACCCGGACAAAAACAATCTGGACAGGAGGCTTGAAAATGTTCACAGAGTTGATTTTATTAACCTTTTTTATTTGTTTTATTTGTAACCACATTCAATTATGTTGTGGTTTAGTTGGAAGTGTGAAGATTTCTGAACTTTGAAACAGCTTTGAATTAATTCCAACGTAATTTAAAGATGAAACCGTGATTAAAAATTTATCAAAAGTATAAAGTTCAACATAAATATTAATAAATGAAAAACAGAAGCTGTAACCTGATTGGCTGAAGGAAAGGGCCGGACGACACAATCAGCTGTTGTTATAGGTTATTGTTACAATAAATGAGGTCTATGCAATATAATAGAGTGCAGGGTAGCTCTGCTGGTTACCTGATGGGGCCCAGGGCCCCCAGTAATAGGTCCTATCAAATGCAAATGAACTGCATATCATGCATCTAAATATAACAAGAATTTCCAAGTAGATTAGAGATTAGAGATAGAATGAAGCAGAATGATGAAAAAGGGGTCCCTATGTCCTCCAGCAGTCTAAGCCTATAGCAGCAGAACTACAAAGATAGAATGAAGCAGAATGAGGAAAAAGGGGTCCCCATGTCCTCCAGCAGTCTAAGCCTATAGCAGCAGAACTATAGAGATAGAATGAAGCAGAATGAGGAAAAAGGGGTCCCTATGTCCTCCAGCAGTCTAAGCCTATAGCAGCAGAACTATAGAGATAGAATGAAGCAGATGAAACAGATTTAAACATATTCTGTAGTCTGTGGTCCCTGTTAAAATGCTCTGGTAACTGAACTAGTTCTGGTCTCCGGTCTGTTCCTGTTACTCTCCCTGCGTCATAATTGCTTCCTGCTCACTTAGCTAAAGATGACAGCAAATAGAGACCGCTTGATTATTTATTTATTTGGACTGTGGGAGGAAACTTGGATACGAATCGACCCCAGAGAGCATGGAAACTGTTTTAAACCTCAGGCAGGGATTTCAACCCCAGACCTTCTGGCTTCAAAGCAACAGTTCCCCCCCTTTCCCAAGAAAAACAATAAAAACAAACATTGAGAAGGAATGAGTTAATATTTTGGTGGGTTTAATGCTTTCCTGTGTCTCCTTTAGGTTGGACACAGAGGGAATCGATCTGCTGACAGCTTTGCTTCTGGTAGGACCTGAAGGCTGCAGGTTCAACCAAGCTTGGATGAACTGAAGCTCTATTGACTCTGTTTCTACGCCTGATTACAGTACGACACCAGAACCAGAATCTCCTCTGAAGCCGCTCAGCACCACCCCTACTTCCAGAGTCTGGGGGAAGACATTCATCATTTGGCTGACAGTAAGATCATATCTATTAAAGTGTTTCTGTTTTTCCCAGCGACACATTTTAATCCCTGCAGGATTTTATGTTCATGCAGTTAGAAGTTTCTCTTCCTCCTTCTTCTCGTTTCCAGACGCTTCAGTGTTTTCCCTCAGAGAGGTGCAGCTCCACAAAGATCCAGGACATCGAAGTTCAGTGTTTCAGCCTCTAAGTGAGACCAGAATCATACTTGACCTTTTTTTTTAAAGCTACATCTCAGATAATCTGCCGGTATGAAGGGAAATTTGCTTCATTGTTGTTTCAGGCAAACAGCAAAAAAAAAAAAAAAGAAAAAATCTTCTAAAAGGAAATGTTTAAAAAAAAAAAGGAATTTGGAAATGAAACTTTAAAAAACTTCTTGATCAAAAAAAAAGTTTAAAGCGTAACTTTGCAGATCTTATATTTTTCAAATTATTTATTTCGTTATTTTTTAAATATTTTTTAAACATAAATCTACGGAAGAGGATTAGGGTCACTGAAAAAAAAAAAAATTAACAGATTTTTTTTATTTTATTTCAGTTTAACATGGGAAAGAAGTCAGAATTCTGACTTTTTTCCCATGTTAAACTGAAATAAAATAAAAAAAATCTGTTAACTTTTTGTTTTTGTTTTCAGTGACCCTAATCCTCTTCCGTATAAATCAGATTAATTTTGACAAATTGTATTCTTTAAAGTTAATCTTCACAGACCCCGTTCTCCTCCCTTCACTGACGGTGTTTCCTCTGGATGGAAAAATAAAAACGCGTTTCTGTTTGTTTTTCTGGACTTTAGCAACAACGTCTTTATTAGACGAGAGATCAAACTATTTGATTTAAACTTTACGTGAAAAGTACAAAGAAAGCACGATGTGGAAATAATGCAGTATGAAAAAAAATCTGAGTAAACAGCAAAATTTCTTCAGATCTTTTTTTTTATGACCAAGTTCTTTCAGTTTTATTTCTTGATTCTATTTTATTTGAATTTCCATCTAAGCTTTTCTTTGCCTGCAAGAATAATGCAACAAAATTCTCTCCATATGTCAGGTTCATAGTAACTGCAAGCTTTCATTAGACTTTTAGATGCTTTGTTCTTCTTTTTTAATGCAATTCAACAAAAACCCAATAATGAATAATCTTTGTTTGATACTAAGTTATATTTTCATGATTTAAATTTTACAGTTAAAAAAATATAATCACCAAATGAGAAGCAAAGTGTTTATTCTTCTGCAAAATCTCAGATCCATAGCCAAGCCAGTTTGTAGAGTAATGGCTAGGTTTTAGGGTTAGGGCAAGGCTTAAAATTAGGTTTAGGGCAAGTGTCAAGGTTAGATTTAGTTATGTATTCCACTAATATTAGGGTCAGTAGCCAATTGATCTGGTAAGTTGATAGTAAGGGCTAAAATTAGGTTTAGGGCAAGTGGGTTAGGTTTAAGGTTAGTGGGTTAGGGTTAGTAACTAACTAACCCTTATGGCAGGTTCGTTTTCTGTCATTAAATCCTTGCCGCTCTTCAAACAAGCAGGACGTCCCTGGATCAGAGCATCAGTTCAGTTTTAAACCAGGCGATTCATTTAGCAAAGCAAAGAACGTCTGAACTCTCAGACCCACAACATATTTAGAGAAAGGACTTAACTTTGAGCAAAAGTAAAAAGCTTTTCCAGGAGATGCTAAAGTTTCAGCATCAGTGGACCGACTCTCACTGGAAAACCTTGAAAAACTTGTTTGTTTTTGACTCTGATGTCGTCCTCTTCAGGCCGAGGAAAGAACCGACGACAGAGCATCTTCTAGACGCTGCAGAAGAAGAAGAAGAAGAAGAAGAGAAGCTGCCTTTCAAATCCAGAACAACCAAGAACCATCAAGCAACCAGTAAACAGATATCCCCCCCCCTCCGTCACTCACTCCAAGGCAGCAGCTGAACCTGAAGGTTCACATTCACTCTCCTTCCAAACACAAACATTCATGTTCAACATGTTTGCACTAAATAAAAACATCATGGCGGCGGCGGCGGCCATTAGCTCAGATCAGTTTCACTCCTTTGATCCTTTAAAAGAAAGAATTCTAACAGTTTTCTCTCTCTGATCACAGACGTTAAATAACTGGTAACCATAGTTCACATCAAAGCTAAAGACAAACTAGAACAAAGCAGATTAGAAGAAGCAGTGTAAACTGTATTTTAGCACAAAGTGACGGTTTGTCTAAAAACTGAAACATACCAGAAGCTTCTCTGGCGGAGGAGAGACGTCCTGCACTGGAGTCGGTTCTGGGAAGGTTAGAGATTGAATCGTTTTGCACTTAAAACATCTCCACTCTCTCTTTTCAAGAGGAATTCCAACAATTGTTTTAATTTAGGGACCAAAACACCAATTTCATCATTTTCCTCATTTCCTCTGCTGTGCAAATGGAGGACAGATCCGTTTGCTGCACAAAGATGATTCCAAGTTTTAGGCGGTTTTGGTCACTTCTTCTCCCATTCTGCCTTCCTTTCTCCTCTGGTCTCCTGGTTTCTTCTTCCAAAGCAACTGCAGCTTGTTTGATCCGTTTCAATCTAACATAGAAAAGATAACTATATATTTATATATACACACATTGTGTGCAGAATTATTAGGCAAGTTGTATTTTTGAGGATTAGTTTTATTATTTGGCCATAATTGTGTTCTCAATCAACCCAAAAGACTCCTTAATATCAAAGTTTCATATTTTTGGAAGTTGATGCATTTTATTTTTTAGATTTGGCCATTTTATGAGGATCTCACTTATTTATTTTCACCAGGTAAACCAATAGAACAACTCAAAATTCAGAAATAAACATTTGCAACATTCAAAAACAAAAATAAAACCAAACCAGTGACCAATATGGCCTCCTTTCTCCACCATAGATTCTGTCAGAGTCTTGATCTGTGTGCGATCCTCATGGCGTGCAGCAGCCTCC